TCCCGTTTATGAAAACGTCAGCCTCAGTAATAAAATTTCTGTAGTTGTATTATATCAGTAACATAGAACAAAGTTCGGAAGAATTCGTAGAATATTTGACAAAAGATATGACTTTAACCTTTAGAGTTTCAGTTTCACTGGAACTTAAAATCATTCGCTGGCAGTCATATCAAAAATATCATAACACGAAACTGCGATTTATCGAAGCCCCACAGCCTCAGGGTGCTTCATTCTATTCAATTCTAGCATACATATCAGTAGACGAGTTTGCAATCAGTACTATTGATTCGCTTAGCGGGAGTTCCTCATTTATCGGTGGCGTGATATAACAATAAGAGAGTTATGGAAATCATGAATTAATAACAATGATAATAATAGTAATAATAATATTTTTAATAACAATAATAATTTATTAATATAATGATAATAATAATGAGTAATTTTTGAATAATTTTTGTCAAGCGTCATCCTCTATAAACAAAGTTAATTTCTATAAATCTATATAAACAATATCTAAATATATTTACAACAAATTAATAAAAATAAATAAAAATAAAATAAGAAAAAGAGAAAAATTATAATGAAATATACTATAGTAAAAATATACCTACTAATGTATAACCATAAAATCTATTTAGTAAAAACTAATCCTAATAATACATGTAAAATAATTAATACTAATGACAAAGTTATTGTCAAAGATACACCCATAACTGATGATAATTATAAAACTATAGAGATGAATATGATGATGATGATGATGATGATGATGATGATGRTGGTGGTGGTGGGGGTGATGGTGATGGTGATGGTAATGATGATAGAGATGATAATGAGATAATAATAAAACTATAGAGATGATGATGATGATGGTGATGGTGGGGGAGATGGTGATGATAATGATCATAGAGATGATAATGAGATAATGATAAAACTATAGAGATGATGATGATGATGATGATGGTGGTGGTGGTGGTGGGGGTTGATGGTGGTGGTAATGATGATAGAGATGATAATGAGATAATGATAATAACGATGACGAGGGTAATGACTATAATGTT